GAGTGAGTGGGTGAGTGAGTGGGTGAGTGAGTGGGTGAGTGGGTGAGTGAGTGGGTGAGTGAGTGGGTGAGTGGGTGAGTGGGTGAGTGAGTGGGTGAGTGGGTGAGGGAGTGGGTGAGTGGGTGGGTGAGTGGGTGGGTGAGTGAGTGGGTGAGTGGGTGAGTGGGTGAGTGAGTGAGTGAGTGGGTGAGTGAGTGGGTGAGTGGGTGAGTGAGTGGGTGAGTGAGTGGGTGAGTGAGTGGGTGAGTGGGTGAGTGAGTGGGTGAGTGGGTGAGTGGGTGAGTGAGTGGGTGAGTGAGTGGGTGAGTGGGTGAGTGAGTGGGTGAGTGAGTGGGTGAGTGAGTGGGTGAGTGGGTGAGTGAGTGGGTGAGTGAGTGGGTGAGTGAGTGGGTGAGTGAGTGGGTGAGTGGGTGAGTGGGTGAGTGAGTGAGTGAGTGGGTGAGTGGGTGAGTGGGTGAGTGGGTGGGTGAGTGAGTGGGTGAGTGAGTGGGTGAGTGGGTGAGTGAGTGGGTGAGTGGGTGAGTGAGTGGGTGAGTGAGTGGAGAGTGGGTGAGTGAGTGGGTGAGTGGGTGAGTGGGTGAGGGAGTGGGTGAGTGGGTGGGTGAGTGGGTGGGTGAGTGAGTGGGTGAGTGGGTGAGTGGGTGAGTGAGTGAGTGAGTGGTGAGTGAGTGGGTGAGTGAGTGAGTGAGTGGGTGAGTGGGTGAGTGAGTGAGTGGGTGAGTGAGTGAGTGAGTGGGTGAGTGAGTGAGTGAGTGGGTGAGTGAGTGGGTGGGTGAGTGGGTGAGTGAGTGGGTGAGTGGGTGAGTGAGTGGGTGAGTGAGTGAGTGGGTGAGTGGGTGAGTGGGTGAGTGAGTGGGTGAGTGGTGAGTGAGTGGGTGAGTGGGTGGGTGAGTGGGTGAGTGGTGAGTGAGTGAGTGGGTGAGTGAGTGGGTGAGTGGGTGAGTGAGTGGGTGAGTGAGTGAGTGGGTGAGTGGGTGAATGGGTGAGTGAGTGGGTGGGTGGGTGAGTGGGTGAGTGAGTGAGTGGGTGAGTGAGTGAGTGGGTGAGTGAGTGGGTGAGTGGGTGGGTGGGTGAGTGAGTAAGTGGGTGAGTGAGTGAGTGAGTGGATGAGTGAGTGAGTGGGTGAGTGGGTGAGTGAGTGGGTGAGTGGGTGAGTGGGTGAGTGAGTGGGTGAGTGGTGAGTGGGTGGGTGAGTGGGTGAGTGGTGAGTGAGTGAGTGGGTGAGTGAGTGGGTGAGTGGGTGAGTGAGTGGGTGAGTGAGTGGGTGAGTGGGTAAATGGGTGAGTGAGTGGGTGGGTGAGTGGGTGAGTGAGTGAGTGGGTGAGTGAGTGAGTGGGTGAGTGAGTGGGTGAGTGGGTGGGTGGGTGAGTGAGTGAGTGGGTGAGTGGGTGAGTGAGTGGGTGAGTGGGTGAGTGAGTGAGTGGGTGGGTGAGTGAGTGGGTGAGTGAGTGGGTGAGTGGGTGAGTGAGTGGGTGGGTGAGTGGGTGAGTGAGTGGGTGGGTGAGTAAGTGGGTGAGTGAGTGAGTGGTTGAGTGAGTGAGTGGGTGAGTGAGTGAGTGAGTGGGTGAGTGGGTGGGTGAGTGAGTGAGTGAGTGGGTGAGTGGGTGAGTGGGTGGGTGAGTGGGTGAGTGAGTGGGTGGGTGAGTAAGTGGGTGAGTGAGTGAGTGGTTGAGTGAGTGAGTGGGTGAGTGAGTGAGTGAGTGGGTGAGTGAGTGGGTGAGTGGGTGAGTGGGTGGGTGAGTGGGTGAGTGGTGAGTAAGTGAGTGGGTGGGTGAGTGAGTGAGTGGGTGAGTGAGTGGGTGAGTGGGTGAGTGAGTGGGTGGGTGAGTGAGTGGGTGGGTGAGTAAGTGGGTGAGTGAGTGAGTGAGTGGATGAGTGAGTGAGTGGGTGAGTGAGTGAGTGGGTGAGTGAGTGGGTGAGTGGGTGAGTGAGTGAGTGGGTGAGTGGGTGAGTGGGTGGGTGGGTGAGTGAGTGGGTGGGTGAGTGGGTGAGTGGGTGAGTGAGTGAGTGGGTGAGTGAGTGAGTGGGTGAGTGGGTGAGTGAGTGGGTGAGTGAGTGAGTGAGTGGTGAGTGAGTGGGTGAGTGGGTGGGTGAGTGGGTGAGTGGTGAGTGAGTGAGTGGGTGAGTGAGTGGGTGAGTGGGTGAGTGAGTGAGTGAGTGGGTGAGTGAGTGAGTGGGTGAGTGGGTGAGTGAGTGAGTGAGTAAGTGGGTGAGTGGGTGAGTGGGTGAGTGAGTGGGTGGGTGAGTGGGTGAGTGAGTGGGTGAGTGGGTGGGTGAGTGAGTGGGTGAGTGAGTGGGTGAGTGGGTGAGTGAGTGAGTGGGTGAGTGGGTGGGTGGGTGAGTGAGTGAGTGGGTGAGTGGGTGAGTGAGTGGGTGAGTGGGTGAGTGGGTGAGTGAGTGGGTGAGTGGGTGAGTGGGTGAGTGAGTGGGTGAGTGGGTGAGTGGGTGAGTGGTGAGTGAGTGGGTGAGTGGGTGGGTGAGTGGGTGAGTGGTGAGTGAGTGGGTGAGTGAGTGAGTGGGTGAGTGGGTGAGTGAGTGAGTGGGTGAGTGAGTGAGTGGGTGAGTGAGTAGGTGAGTGAGTGGGTGAGTGAGTGGGTGAGTGAGTGAGTGAGTAGGTGAGTGAGTGGGTGAGTGAGTGAGTGAGTCGGTGAGTGGGTGAGTGCGTGGTTGGGAGGTGACGATGGTGGTGATGGTAGTGATGGTGTTGATGTTGTTGATGGTGGTGATGTTGTTGATGGTGGTGATGTTGTTGATGGTGATGTTGGTGATGGTAGTGTTGGCGTTGATGGTAGTGATGGTGATGTTGATGGTGATGATGGTAGTGATGGTGATGTTGATGGTGATGATGGTAGTGATGGTGATGTTGATGGTGATGTTGATGGTGATGTCGGTGATGGTGATGATGGTGATGATGGTGGTGATGATGGTGGTGATGTTGGTGATGGTGTTGATGGTGTTGATGGTAGTGATGATGGTGATGGTGTTGATGGTAGTGATGGTGGTGATGTTGGTGATGATGTTGGTGATGTTGATGGTGATGTTGATGGTGATGTTGGTGATGATGTTGGTGATGGTGATGTTGATGGTGATGTTGATGGTGATGTTGGTGGTGATGTTGGTGATGATGTTGGTGATGGTGATGTTGATGTTGATGGTGATTTTGGTGATGATGGTGATGGTGATGTTGATGGTGATGATGGTGGTGATGTTGGTGATGATGTTGGTGATGTTGGTGATGATGTTGGTGATGGTGATGTTGATGGTGATGTTGATGGTGATGTTGGTGATGATGTTGATGGTGATGTTGATGTTGTTGATGATGATGTTGATGGTGATGTTGATGTTGTTGATAATGGTGGTGATGATGGTGGTGATGATGTTGGTGATGTTTGTGATGTTAGTGATGATGTTGGTGATGTTGGTGATGTTAGTGATGATGATGTTGATGGTGATGTTGGTGATGTTGATGTTGGTGATGTTGGTGATGTTGGTGATGATGATGATGATGTTGGTGATGTTGGTGATGATGGTAGTGATGTTGGTGATGTTGTTGTTGATGTTGGTGATGTTGTTGTTGATGTTGGTGATGATGATGTTAGTGATGTTGATGATGTTGATGTTAGTGATGATGATGTTAGTGATGTTGATGTTGGTGATGTTGATGATGTTAGTGATGTTGATGTTGGTGATGATGATGTTGGTGATGATGATGTTGGTGATGATGATGTTGGTGATGTTGATGTTGGTGATGGTGATGTTGATGATGTTGATGATGTTGATGATGTTGGTGATGTTGTTGTTGATGTTGGTGATGTTGGTGATGTTGGTGATGTTGGTGATGTTGATGATGTTGATGTTGGTGATGTTGATGATGTTGTTGATATTGGTGATGTTGTTGTTGGTGATGTTGATGTTGGTGATGTTGGTGATGTTGATGATGTTGATGTTGGTGATGTTGGTGATGTTGATGATGTTGATGTTGGTGATGTTGGTGATGTTGGTGATGATGGTGATGTTGATGTTGGTGATGTTGTTGTTGATGTTGGTGATGTTGATGATGTTGATGTTGGTGATGTTGGTGATGTTGGTGATGATGTTAGTGATGTTGATGTTGGTGATGTTGGTGATGTTGGTGATGTTGATGATGTTGGTGATGTTGGTGATGATGTTGATGTTGATGATGTTGATGTTGTTGGTGATGTTGGTGATGTTGATGTTGGTGATGATGTTGTTGATGTTGATGATGATGTTAGTGATGATGTTGATGATGTTGGTGATGTTGTTGTTGATGATGTTGATGATGTTGGTGATGTTGTTGTTGATGATGATGTTGATGATGTTAGTGATGATGTTGATGTTGGTGATGTTGTTGTTGATGATGTTGATGTTGGTGATGTTGTTGTTGATGTTGGTGATGATGTTGGTGATGATGTTGGTGATGATGTTGGTGATGATGTTGATGTTGGTGATGATGATGATGTTGGTGATGTTGGTGATGTTGGTGATGTTGTTGATGTTGATGATGATGTTGGTAATGTTGATGTTGTTGTTGGTGATTTTGATGATGTTAGTGATGATGTTGGTGATGTTAGTGATGATGTTGTTGATGTTGGTGATGATGTTGATGTTGGTGATGTTGTTGATGTTGATGATGATGTTGGTAATGTTGATGTTGTTGTTGGTGATTTTGATGATGTTAGTGATGATGTTGTTGATGTTGGTGATGTTGGTGATGTTGGTGATGGTGATGTTGGTGATGTTGGTGGTGATGTTGTTGATGTTGGTGATGTTGGTGATGATGATGTTGGTGATGTTGATGTTGGTGATGTTGGTGATGTTGGTGATGTTGGTGATGGTGATGTTGGTGATGTTGGTGGTGATGTTGTTGATGTTGGTGATGTTGGTGATGTTGTTGTTGTTGGTGATGTTGTTGTTGATGTTGGTGATGTTGGTGATGTTGTTGTTGATGTTGGTGATGTTGATGATGATGATGTTGGTGATGTTGATGTTGGTGATGTTGATGATGATGATGGTGATGTTGATGTTGGTGATGTTGATGATGATGATGGTGATGTTGATGATGTTGATGTTGGTGATGATGATGTTGATGTTGTTGTTGCTTCACACTTCCACGCTGCGGTCTGTAAATCCACGCTTCCCCTCGTAGATGAAGGACGGCCGCTCGGTACGAGTGTGCCAGACTAGCACCTGTGGTGAGACACTCAGTTAGACACTCAGTTAGACACTCAGTTAGACACTCAGTTAGACACTCAGTCACTCAGTCACTCACTCAGAGACTCAGAGACTCACTCACTCAGTCACTCAGTCACTCACACACTCACTCACTCAGTCACGAGTGTGCCAGACCAGCACCTGTGGTGATACACTCAGTTAGACACTCAGTTAGACACTCAGTTAGACACTCAATTAGTCAGTCAGTCACTCACTCAGTCAGTCACTCAGTTAGACACTCAGTCACTCAGTCACTCACTCAGAGACTCAGAGACTCACTCACTCACTCAGTCACTCAGTCACTCACACACTCACTCACTCAGTCACTCACTCAGTCACTCACTCACGAGTGTGCCAGACTAGCACCTGTGGTGAGACACTCAGTTAGACACTCAGTTAGACACTCAGTTAGACACTCAGTTAGTCACTTAGTTAGTCACTCACTTAGTCACTCAGTCACTCACTCAGTCACTCACTCAGTCACTCACTCAGTCACGAGTGTGCCAGACTAGCACCTGTGGTGAGACACTCAGTTAGACACTTAGTTAGACACTCAGTTAGACACTCACACAGTCACTCACTCACTCAGTCACTCAGTCACTCACTCACTCAGTCACTCACTCACTCAGTCACTCACTCAGTCACTCACTCAGTCACTCAAGAGTTTGCCAAACTAGCACCTGTGGTGAGACACTCAGTTAGTCACTTAGTCACTTAGTTAGTCACTTAGTCGCTTAGTCAGTCACTCACTCAGTCACTCACTCACACACTCACTCACACACTCACCCACTCACTCAGAGACTCACTCAGTCACTCACTCACTCAGAGACTCAGTCACTCACTCACTCACAAGTGTGCCAAACTAGCACCTGTGGTGAGACACTCAGTTAGTCACTTAGTTAGTCAGTCAGTCAGTCATTTAGTCAGTCACTCAGAGACTCACTCACTCATACACTCACATACTCACTCACCCACTCACTCAGAAACTCAGAGACTCACTCAGTCACTCACTCAGTCACTCACTTAGTCACTCAGTCACTCACTCAGTCACTCACTTAGTCAGTCACTCAGTCACTCACTTAGTCACTCAGACACTCACACACTCAGTCACTCACTTAGTCAGTCACTCAGTCACTCACTTAGTCACTCAGTCACTCAGTCACTCACTCAGCCACTCAGACACTCACTTAGTCACTCACTCAGTCACTCACTCACTCAGTCACTCACTCAGTCACTCACTCAGTCACGAGTGTGCCAGACTAGCACCTGTGGTGAGACACTCAGTTAGACACTCAGTTAGACACTCAGTCACTCACTCAGTCACTCACTCAGTCACTCACTCACTCAGTCACTCACGAGTGTGCCAGACTAGCACCTGTGGTGAGACACTCAGTTAGACACTCAGTTAGACACTCAGTTAGACACTTAGTTAGTCACTCAGTCAGTCACTCACTTTGTCACTCACTTAGTCAGTCATTTAGTCACTCACTCAGTCACTTACTCACTTAGTCAGTCAGTCACTCACTCACACAGTCACTCACTCAGTCACTCACTCAGTCACTCACTTAGTCACTCAGACACTCATACTCAGTCACTCACTCAGTCACTCACTTAGTCAATCACTCAGTGACTCACTTAGTCACTCAGACACTCACACTCAGTCACTCACTCAGTCACTCACTTAGTCAGTCACTCAGTCACTCACTTAGTCACTCAGACACTCACACTCAGTCATTCACTCAGTCACTCACTTAGTCAATCACTCAGTCACTCACTTAGTCACTCAGACACTCACACACTCAGTCACTCACTCAGTCACTCACTTAGTCAGTCACTCAGTCACTCACTTAGTCACTCAGACACTCAGACACTCAGTCACTCACTCAGTCACTCACTTAGTCAGTCACTCACTCACACAGTCACTCACTTAGCCAGTCACTCACTCACACAGTCACTCACTCAGTCACTCACTCAGTCGCTCACTCAGTCACTCACTTAGTCAGTCACTCACTCACTCACTTAGTCACTCAGACACTCACACACTCAGTCACTCACTCAGTCACTCACTTAGTCAGTCACTCAGTCACTCACTTAGTCACTCAGACACTCACACACTCAGTCACTCACTCAGTCACTCACTTAGTCAGTCACTCACTCACACAGTCACTCACTTAGCCAGTCACTCACTCACACAGTCACTCACTCAGTCACTCACTCAGTCACTCACTCACTCAGTCACTCACTCAGTCACTCACTTAGTCACTCAGTCACTCACTTAGTCACTCAGACACTCACACACTTAGTCACTCACTCAGTCACTCACTTGGTCAGTCACTCAGTCACTCACTTAGTCACTCAGATACTCACACACTCAGTCACTCACTCAGCCACTCAGACACTCACTTAGTCACTCACTCAGTCACTCACTTAGCCAGTCACTCACTCACACAGTCACTCACTCAGTCACTCACTCACTCAGTCACTCACTCAGTCACTCAGTCACTCACACACTCAGTCACTCACTCAGTCACTCACTTAGTCACTCAGACATTCACACACTCAGTCACTCACTCAGTCACTCACTTAGTCACTCAGACACTCACACACTCAGCCACTCACTTAGTCAGTCACTCAGTCACTCACTTAGTCACTCACTCAGTCACTCACTCACCTCTCCAGCTGCTGTAACAGGCTGTGTGTTGTGTTGCTGTGCCAGGCTAGGTTCATACACACACACCTTGGTACAGTTAGAGGCACGTGGTTCTAACAGTGTCACGTGACACCAGCCTGCTGTAACAGGCTGTGTGTTGTGTTGCTGTGCCAGGCTAGGTTCACACACACACACACACCTTGGTACAGTTAGAGGCACGTGGTTCTAACAGTGTCACGTGACACCAGCTACTGTAACAGGCTGTGCGTTGTGTTGCTGTGCCAGGCTAGGTTCACACACACACACCTTGGTACAGTTAGAGGCACGTGGTTCTAACAGTGTCACGTGACACCAGCTACTGTAACAGGCTGTGTGTTGTGTGTTGCTGTGCCAGGCTAGGTTCACACACACACCTTGGTACAGTTAGAGGCACGTGGTTCTAACAGTGTCACGTGACACCAGCTGCTGTAAGAGGCTGTGTGTGTTGCTGTGCCAGGCTAGGTTCACACACACACCTTGGTACAGTTAGAGGCACGTGGTTCTAACAGTGTCACGTGACACCAGCCTACTGTAACAGGCTGTTGTTGTGTTGCTGTGCCAGACTGGGTTCACACACACACACACCTTGGTACAGTTAGAGGCACGTGGTTCTAACAGTGTCACGTGACACCAGCTACTGTAACAGGCTGTGTGTGTTGCTGTGCCAGGCTAGGTTCACACACCTTGGTACAGTTAGAGGCACGTGGTTCTAACAGTGTCACGTGACACCAGCTACTGTAAGAGGTTGTGTGTTGTGTTGCTGTGCCAGGCTAGGTTCACACACCTTGGTACAGTTAGAGGCACGTGTTTCTAACAGTGTCACGTGACACCAGCTGCTGTAAGAGGCTGTTGTTGTGTTGCTGTGCCAGGCTAGGTTCACACACCTTGGTACAGTTAGAGGCACGTGGTTCTAACAGTGTCACGTGACACCAGCTACTGTAACAGGCTGTTGTTGTGTTGCTGTGCCAGGCTAGGTTCACACTCACACACACCTTGGTACAGTTAGAGGCACGTGGTTCTAACAGTGTCACGTGACACCAGCTACTGTAAGAGGCTGTGTGTTGTGTGTTGCTGTGCCAGGCTAGGTTCACACACACACACCTTGGTACAGTTAGAGGCACGTGGTTCTAACAGGTCACGTGACACCAGCTACTGTAAGAGGCTGTGTGTTGTGTTGCTGTGCCAGGCTAGGTTCACACACACACCTTGGTACAGTTAGAGGCACGTGGTTCTAACAGGTCACGTGACACCAGCTGCTGTAAGAGGCTGTGTTGTGTGTTGCTGTGCCAGGCTAGGTTCACACACCTTGGTACAGTTAGAGGCACGTGGTTCTAACAGGTCACGTGACACCAGCTGCTGTAAGAGGCTGTGTTGTGTGTTGCTGTGCCAGGCTAGGTTCACACACCTTGGCACAGTTAGAGGCACGTGGTTCTAACAGTGTCACGTGACACCAGCTACTGTAAGAGGTTGTGTTGTGTTGCTGTGCCAGGCTAGGTTCACACACACACACCTTGGTACAGTTAGAGGCACGTGGTTCTAACAGGTCACGTGACACCAGCTACTGTAAGAGGCTGTGTGTTGTGTTGCTGTGCCAGGCTAGGTTCACACACACACCTTGGTACAGTTAGAGGCACGTGGTTCTAACAGTGTCACGTGACACCAGCTGCTGTAAGAGGTTGTGTTGTGTTGCTGTGCCAGGCTAGGTTCACACACACACACACCTTGGTACAGTTAGAGGCACGTGGTTCTAACAGTGTCACGTGACACCAGCTACTGTAAGAGGCTGTGTGTTGTGTTGCTGTGCCAGGCTAGGTTCACACACACACCTTGGTACAGTTAGAGGCACGTGGTTCTAACAGTGTCACGTGACACCAGCTGCTGTAACAGGCTGTGTGTTGTGTGTTGCTGTGCCAGGCTAGGTTCACACACCTTGGTACAGTTAGAGGCACGTGGTTCTAACGGTGTCACGTGACACCAGCTACTGTAACAGGCTGTGTATTGTGTTGCTGTGCCAGGCTAGGTTCACACACCTTGGTACAGTTAGAGGCACGTGGTTCTAACAGTGTCACGTGACACCAG